CCTTAGAGGGGGGGTTTTTAGTGACCTGCAAGTGGCACATACCGCTGCTGTGACGATAGCACCGATGATGCGGAAGGCATTTTCCACCCCCTCACCCGCAAAAACAAAAAAAAAAAAAAAAAAATATCGCTGATACAAACAGGACACTTTTCAAATATTGTTTACTTCAAGTTTCCCATTACTTCACGATCTTCACTGTAGGCTTTGTGTCACTGAAATTTTTCTGTTTTTGATAAAGTAGATTCCTCAAAAAGAGTATGAAACATTCAACGAATTCGTAGTCGTGAGTCCATTGGAAACTCCAAATTACAAGCCAACTCGACAAGACACACTTTTTCACTATAAACAAATAGATCAAACTTACCAAATTAGGAAAAAATACGCGATCGATTTGGAAAAACGAGTTCGCAAATGGCCGAAGTCGAACAACATGCCATTAATGGAAAACCTATAAGTGCCATATACTTAGCACTAAATGAAGATATAAAACTCAAATTTGGCAGAGAGCATCGTGGTAGTAAAGGGCGCCAGTGAGCAAAACAAGTTTTACAAAGTTTCCTCTCCTTAACCCTTGCACAGCGTAAAAACTTAGCCCTTCCTTATTTGTTATTTTATAAAATGTAATTAAATTCCAGTAGTTTATTCTTCTAACTGAGATATTTGCCGTCGGCAAAGTAACAGTAGGCTTTTCTCTGGTTTGCTGCGGGTAATATGATGTGTTTGTATGTTGTCTAAAAAAATACAAAATGTGAAGGAAAATATTATTTACTATTTTGACTATTGTGTAATATTATTTAATTATAAAGAACTTAGGATATTCAATGTGTTACATAATACAAATGGTTTCTGAAAGGCAAAGTTGAGATACCAATTATAAAAATTTACTCAAATCGTTTTGCAGCCCTTTATTTTCGTATTGGGTTTTTGGTAAGGTAGAACTTCAAGGAAAATTATTACTTCCGAAAAAAAAAAACAAATGTTGAGTGGGTTCAACATAGCGATTGTACATATGTATGAACGTATGTTTGTAGCATTATGCTGACAAACTTTGCTAATTATTTTTCTCAATTATAGAAATCCCAAAGCAACTTGATTTCCATTTCATGCGCCAACAAATCGACAACAAGAATATGCCCGAGTGCGTTAAAAGGCCGACATGCGCTTTTTTGACTTTCACTGCCACATAGTCAACAATGCAGGCAGGCATTTCAATGAGAGTTCATGTAGATATGTATGCACTTATATCCGCTCAGAAGCATATATACATATGTTTGCATTAAGAACTTGTTCAACCATTTAGATATACCAACATATGTACGTATGTAAGTGTATGCCAAGGTCCTTCCATCTGCTTTAAGCCTTTTGATTTGCCTGCAGCATTACGCTC